CGAAGGCAGACGCTTAACGACTGAGCCACCCAGGCGCCCCTAATTGACATTTTATAAAACAGCTTTATTGAAGTATAATTGACAAAAAACTGCACACATTTAAAGTATTCAAATTGATGTTTTAACATGTGTACAAATTTATGAAACCATCATCATGACCAAGATAATAAACATATTCATCATCCCCATAAGTTTCCTCACACCCCTTTGTGATCCTCACACTGCTTCTCCCCATCCCCCAGAACAGCTGATCTGGTTTCTGTCACTATACATTCATTTACATTTCCTGGAATATAGAATAAATGAAACCATGTGGTGGGTACTCTTCTGACTGACTTCTTTCACCAGAATAACTTTTGAGATTCGTTCATGTGAGGTGTGTATGAGTAGTTCATTCCTTGTTACTGCTGAGTAGTTTATCAGATGGACATGCCAATTTGTTCATCCAGTCACTTTTTGATGTATATTTGGGTTGTTTCCAGGTTTTCTGCCCATTACAAATAAAACTGATGAACATTCATGTAAAAATCATATTATAGACATATACTTTCATTTCCTTTGGGTAAATATTGCCAAATTGAATGGCTAATCGTATAGTGGATGTGCACTTAAGAGATGGTCAAGGTATTTTCAGAGTGGTTTTAGCATTATACATTCTCACCAGCAGTGCATGAGATCCTCAGTCCCTCCCCATTCTTGATGACATTTGATTTGGATTTTTTTTAATTACTATTTTTTTAACCACTATTAAAGGAGTATAGTGGTATCTCATTGTGGTTTTAATTTGCATTTCCCTAGTGACATAATGGTGTTGCATATCTCTTTATGTGCTTATATGCCACTTAAATATCTTCTCTGATGAAATGTCTTCTTAAATCTTTTGCCCTTATTGTTTATGAATTGGGTTGTTTGTTTTCTCCTTATGGAGTTTTGGGAGTTCTTTACATATTTTTTAGATTTATTTTTTCTTTATTTATATTCAGTTAACCAACATAAAATACATCACTCCTCTACATATTTGGGATACAATCCTTTATCCGATATATAGTTGGTAAATATTTTCTCCCCATTTGTGACTTGTCTTTTTCATTCTTTTAACTGCATCTTTAAGAAAACAAACCTGTTTCATTTTGACAAATTCCAGTTTACAAATTTGTTCTTTTATGGGTCATGCTTTTGGTGACATAATTTCAATATTCAGGTATTCCTTAAAAGAGGTGGTAGAATACAATCACTTATGAAACCATTTGAGTTTGGGATTTTATTGTGGGGGAATATTTGAAAATACAAATTCAATAACTTTAATAGTAATGGAGCTATTGAGGTGATCTGTATTTTTCTGAGTGAGCTTTGGCAGTTTGTGTCTTTGAAGTAATATGTCCATTTTATCTCCATTGACAAATTTATTGGCCTAAAACTGTGTATGCATTCCTTTATTATCTTTTAAATATCTGCAGAATCTATAGATGTAGTCACCTTTCTCATTCTTGATATTGGTAAATTTTGGCTTCTGTCTTTTTCTTCTGGTATGGCTAGAGGTTTATCAATTTTATTGATCTTCTTAAAGGACCAGCATTTGGTTTCATTGATTTTCTCCATTTTTCTATTTTCTATTTCACTGATTTCTACTCTATTATTTCTTCTGCTTACTTTGAGTTTAATATGATTTTCCTTCTTTAGTTTCTTAAAGTGGAAGCAGAGGTCATTGACTTGACATCTTTCTTCATTTCTAATATAGTTGGGTAGTGCTATAGAATTACCCATAAGTACTACTCAGTGGCATCTTGCAAATTTTGATCTATTTTTGTTATTTTCATTTAGTTCAAAATACTTTCCAGTTTCCCTTTTTATTTTGTCTTCAACTGGTGAATTATTTGGAAGTGTGTTATTTAGTTTCCACATATTTGGGGATTTTCTAGAGATCTTTCTGTTACTGATTAATCCAATTCTACCATGGTTAGAGAACGTATTTTTTTAAAGAGTTATTTATTTACTTATTTGAGAGAGGAGTGGGGAGAAGGGCAGAGAGAGAGGGAGAAGGAGAGAAGCAGACTCTGCGCTGAGCATGGAGCCTGACATGGGGCTCAATCTTACGACCCAGAGATCATGACCTCAGCCAAAATCAAGAGCCGGCTGCTTGACCTACTGAGCCATCCAGGTGCCCTGGGAACATATTTTGTATTATTGGTGTCCTTTTAATTTGTTCAGACTTACTTTATGTTTATAGTATGATCTGTCTTAGTAAATGTCCTATGTGCCCTTGAAAAAGGTGTGTGTTGTGTTGTTATTGGGTAAATGTTCTATGAATGTCAGTCAAGTTGGTTGATTATGTTGTTCCAGTCTTACATATCTTTTGCTAATGTTCTGTTTGTTGGCTCTATCGATTATTGCTAGAGGGGTGAAATTTCCAACTACAGTTTTGGACTTTTCTATTTCTTGCAATTCTGTCAGTTTTTGCTTCATGTATTTTTAAATTTTGTATTAGGTGCATAAATGTTTAGGATTCTTATGTCTCTCTTGATAAATTAATCTCTTCATCATTAAGAAATGAACTTCTTTGTCCCGGGTAATATATTTTTGCTCTGAAATTTCATTTGTGTGACATTAATATAGCCACTTTAACTTTCTTTTGACTAGCATTAGCATGGTGTAT